GAAACTGGGTCCGAATCACACCGTGAATTTATCGTCGAATTTTGCGAGAGTTCCCCACGAGTATCGCTTTCAACATGTCCCCTATTTGATTGATTGTTGCCATACGAAAATCCTTCTCAGAACGAGTCGTGTCTTGAACAACACGGGGTTGATTTCCTCTCAGAAAGGTAATAAAATGTGAGGCCAGGACTGCTGAACCTTTGCCGTTAAGATGTATATTGCTCCCATTTAAACATGTGTGATCAATGGAAGAGTTATCAATGAACATAACATCGTGCTTTGCAGCCATTTCTTCGAGTTTCTTGTTGACTTCCTGTATTTTAGTTGCTTGTTCTATATCCTGTCTAAACGTGATTCCAGATAAACCAACTTTTGAATTTGGGAATTTTGCTTTGGTTTTGATAACAAGCCTTTCTAATTTCTTCGAACATACTTTGGTTGAGTCTATCGGAATGTTGTTTGTCCCAGCGTGAACAATTACGTGGGAGGGAGATGATTGAATATTAATAATGTTAAGTTCCTTTTCAATATCTTCGGCAGTTTTCCCTGGGTATGTAAATTTATAAACTTTTTTTTTTGTAAGTTTTCGAGGGTCGATGTGTTTCACTATTGAATCACCAATAAGAACAATTTCTTCTTTAACACGCTTCCTTGTAGATTGATTTTCGAGGTTTGTCGTTGAAGCAGATACGCTTTCACTTGTCTCCTCGACAGCAAGAGAAGAGAATTGATTTTTAAGCGGGATTGCATGGGTATCTCGATTCGGTTGTTGAAAGTCATCCCGGTCATTAGCATTAATTTGTTTTTCATGGGAATGGCGTTGATCTTGTGTAAGGAGCTTTAAAGCTAAGAGGAGCGAGTCTCTCTCTTGTTCAGCTGCTTTTACACGATCTTCAAGCATTTGATTTCTGTGTTGTTGTTGTTTAAGTTCAAGCTGGAGCTTCGCCATTACTTCTTCGTTTGGAGAAATGTTAGTCTTTGCATTAATCATTCCCTCAACACGGTTCTGTAGAATTATCATATCAAGTTGAATACCTGCGATATCTGTTGCCAATGATTTGCAGTTACAACCACATACGGTAGAAGTAGGTTGACTTTTCTGGCAGATGTTTGAATCCTTGCATGGATTGTTTTGGGAAATATCGTCAGATGTGTTCAGAAAGCTCTCTTGGGTCGTTTCACTGACACTGATGACTTCGTTTTGACTTTGATTTTGAATCACAGAATCCCCTACGGTTTCGACAGCTCCATTCTTCTGTGTTTCTTCGCTAAGTAGCTCTATTATTTTGTTCTTAAAAACTTCTCCTAAACATCTCTGGAAAAGTAGCGTTGACTGCTTCTTAAAATACCAGTTTATGCTGAAATTGTCGTCTTGTGCTTTAAAACGTTTTGCTCCCCCGCCAGGAGAAGACCATTTCCCATTGATTCCAAGGCAATCATGAACGAACTTCTTGAGATGCTCGAAGTCGTTTCCCCATTTAATTTTATTTCGATCGACCTCAAAGCTAGAAAGACCTTGACATCCAATTTCTTCTAAACGTTTCACAATGTTTGTTGAATCAGTCATGTTTGAATCAGTGTATAAGTTAAATTTTCTCTTGGGCAGTTGCTTGAAAGACGTGCTGTCTGCACCACTGACGAACACGATGACGAGCACGATAATATGATGACGAGCACGATAATATATATATATATATATATATATATATATATATATATATATATATATATATATATATATATATATATATATATATATATATATATATATACTAACAGTAATTAATTTTATTTTACTTTAATAATAGTTCCAGTCCATGTAGTACATAGTCTTTTAGCCTCTGTGGCACTCTTTTCGTCCTGGTTGGCCTTTTTGACAACTCGGGCACTGGAATGGGCGTTGGCTGAGTATGTGGAATGGGCGTTGTTGGTTCGTGTAGTGATGGGTGTCCACGGTTCTTGTCCGTCATTCGTTACAGTTATTTCCTTTTTTGGTGGTCTACTTGGAAGAATGATGGGGATTGCTTCCACATCGGTTGAGGACGCCCTTTTATGAGACGTAGGTCCGGAATCTGGCTGTAGTGGTGTTGTCGGTATGATGTGGACACGATTCCTTCTTATCATCCCGTTGGGTGTTTTTAATGTGTACGAACGCGATGGTTCTTCCCTTGTAATTTTTCCATAGATCCATCGTTTTTCGCGCTGTTGTGGAGGCGGTCTAGCGTATGCATATTGACCAGGTCGTAAAATGTTATGTTGTGGTCCTACTGCTCTGTCGTAATAAGTGTAATACGTTTTGCTTGTGCTGCGTTAATGCTCTAACTCCTCTTGTGTTGTTGTTCTGTTTATCATTCTCGGAACAAGAACTTTGGTTGATGTTGGCAATTTTGTTCGGGTATGACGACACAACATCCGTTGAGCTGGGGAATAAGAGTGACCTCTCTGAGATGTGTTTCTATAGTTTAATAGGGCAGCTTGAAAATCGTCCGATTTCTTGATCATGTTCTTAACAAGCTTCACCGCTGCCTCTGCTCTGCCATTTCCTTGTGTATGGTATGGTGAATATGATGTGTGGTTGTAATCATACTCTTCGGCAAATTCTTTGTATGCTTTGCCAATAAATTGTGGTCCATTGTCTGTATGATATACACGTGGAAAGCCAAACATTGCAAAATTCACCTCGGTCTTGTTAATAATGGTTGTTGAGAGGGTATCCATTAGTTCATCTACTTCTACCCAGTCTGAGCAGTGACACACGGTGACCAGATAACTTCGTTGCTCGAGCGTAAATAATTCTTGGCTAGTTATTTCCCAGGGAAGTGAAGGTAATGGTATCGACTTCATAGGCTCTTTGGTCAACGTCTGGCCGTATTGAACACAAATCCCACAGGTAGTACACATATTCTGAATGGCTTTTCTCAGGACAGAACCTGGCCAGAACAAGACTTCTCTTGCCATTCGTATGTTGAATTCCGCACCAAGACGATTGACATGGATTTTACTGAGCATATCTGCCTGCATAGATTCTGGGATGAGAGTCTGATGACATTTTTAAATTATCTCATTTTGTATGGTCATTTTGTATGGTCAGTTCATCTCTATAATTCCAATACTGTTGTAACTTTCTGTTTCTCATCGGGCCAACCCTTGATAATCATGCCATAAAACTGAGACAGAATGTGATCTCTTTTGATTTCGACTTGCAGTTTTCCTTCATTAGTCTTGGTAAGACTTGCATTGCGCTCATTAACTTGATGCGAAAGCTCAATTCTGAATACTTCAAACCCAGTGACTTCAGTTCGAACTGGATCTGGAAGTGCAGCACGCGAAAGGGTGCCAGCAAGATACATAGACTTTCCTTTCTTGTATGTTCTTTGAAACTGTATCGTTGAAGTTTCATCATCATTTTCTGTAACCTCGCAGACGCTTTATTTAACGGTTTTCTAAGTATTGTCTCTAATGGCTGGTGATCTGTATGCACCTCTATGTCTTTCTTCCCATATAACCATTAATCAAATTTATTGAATGAATGAAAAATCGCTAAACACTCTTTCTCAATTTGAGAATATCGTTTCTCGGTGATGCTCATACTACATGATGAAAATGCCACTGGTTCCAGTCTTCGCTGTTCATCAGGTTGAAGCAATGCACCAACCAGGCCTTCATCACTGGCGTCAGCTTGTATGACTACTGGTTTGCTCAAATTATAATATGCTAGCGTCGGGATTTTGAAATCAGCTCTTTTGCCTTGGTGAATGCATCATCTTGCGCTTGTGACCAGTTGAATGGAACACCATTTTGAGTGAGGTTCCGTAATGGTTGAATGGTTGCTGAAAGGTACTCGCAAAATGGAGAGAGGTAATTCACCAGACCTATGAATCTTAATACAGCTGCTTTGCTGCGGGGTGTTGGCATTTGTATAATCCCGGACACCTTTCGCGGGTCAGCTTTCATGCCTTCAGATGTGATGATGTTTCCCATGAACTTTATTTCTTTTAGCTTGAACTGCAATTTTCCTGCGTTGAGCTTGATATTTTGCTGGATGCATCGTTCCATCAGTGCAATTAAGCGGCGATCATGATCTTTGTCAACCTGCTTATAGTCATCTCCTTCACCAAAAACAAGAATGTCATCCCCTATGCAGATAACTCCTTCTAACCCTTCAAGGGCAATTACCAGTCTCTTCTGAAACTCCTCAGGGGCACTGGTTATGCCAAATGGTAAACGTAACCATCTATATCTTCCATAGGTTGTATGCATTGTGGTCATGTGCGAGGACTCCTCATCCAGTGGCACATGTAAAATCCCATCCCGGACATCAAGCATTGTGGAGCATTTTACGTTACACAGTTTGTGAAGCTGTTCATTCAGTGTCGGCATCTGATTAATTGGTCTAAGAATAGCTTTATTTATGGTTTGGCTTGGATCGATGCAGATCCGGAACTTCTTGGGTGTTTCTTTAATCAAATCATTTGAACACCATGGGGTAGGCTCTAAATTTCTGTGTCATCAGGCATATCGTTTACTTACAATATGAATAATAAAGGACCCAAGATAGACCCCTGCGGTAAACCACGTACGGTGGTAGGACTTGAAAGGTTAAGGTTTCAAATTTTCTTTCTCTTTCACAAAGAAGTTCTACTTGACCAATGTGGTGTAGTGGCTTAATGTTGCCGTAAGGGTATAGTAAGTGAGAGGATTTCTGATAGTGTATATTTTCTCTGTATCTGGAAGGGGTCCGACCGTATCTACGAGTATTGTTCGAACTTTGTGTCCGATCAAATCTTTGGTTTGATCTCCTTGATTAATTTTGAAATGCGGGCCTCCCTCCAGGTCCGTGTAGTGGTTCCTCCAAACATACTTTAGCAAAATGGTCATTCCCTCCACATTTTGCATAGGTTTTTTCATTCGCCTGGCAGGATTTCCATGGGTGCGGTTCTCTGGTTTCCACACCAATGGCATTACCAGGATCCCGTTTTAATTTCATGTTTCTGCGACTGGTCCAATTAACTTGCTCTTCTAAACCCTTTGTTTCTAAACCCTTTTTAGCCTCCCCAATTATTTTGTTTGTTTTCTGGGTTGATTCTATTGCTTTGGCCTCTGCCACTACATCTTGCATTGTTTTTAATGTATTGTTTGGTTTTAAATGGGTTTTCAAAAGTCCTATACTACCACTATGCAGGCCAAATACAAATTTATCACGACACATCTCATCAGTCATGTCTCCATAACCACACAAATATCCTGTCTGCCTCAACTTTACTTCTCAGTCTTGAACAGTTTAATAAAGATCTTGGCTGCTACTCCAAAATTTAAATTTATCGACCATCAATATATGAGCTTCCAATTGTCCCTGTGCAATGGAGGCGTAGTCTTTCCATCCATATCCACGGTTTCTTCTTCTCTACTTTAGATATTTGGGGCTCGATAGTATATCTCAGCACCTGTAGAGCTTCTTCCCGTAGAGCTGACCTTAGAGCGCCGATATTTCTAGAATTGGTAGTTTATAATAAGTATCTTTTTCAGTCACAGGATCTTTTGTAATGTCTCTATACTTTGTCTGAATACAATAGTCATCAAATCGCACTTCAAAATTCTTAAAGTTTTCGACGATATTTCCGCTGAGATTTAACTCCGGACGCTTCGCATTCGAAGCCATCGTGAATCTCACCCTTGACACCAAGTTGTAGACCACACACAAAGAAATGTAATCCAAAGACAAAGGAATAAAAGTATATTTATATTGCTAAACAAAACTCTAATCCGTCCCTTTCTTCCACCGCGCCTGACCATCCGGGTCAGACCGCTGACCAACAAATATACCATTAAAGAATTCTATGATACAATTTATGAATTTAATATGTATTCGTGATTAAACGTAGGGACACTTTATACATTATTTAATAATAATAATTTAATGCTTATATCGCGCAAATTTACATTCATATATGATCAAATGCCAGATATAATAAAAAGTACTTTGCTAAGCCTTATCAGCTATCATTCCTTTGCATTCAAGGGCGAGGGTAGCCTAAATGGCTATAGAATTATATATGAGATGCTGTGCAATATTTTGACTTCAACATACAGTTATTCGTTCAGACAAAAAAGGAAAAGCAAACAGTTGTGAAGTGTCTTATAATTCTGTACTGTTGATCCCAAACAACTTTGTACGTTAACACTCCTTCCTACCTGGTGTTTTATATAAACAATGATAACCTATTTTTTAAAAAAAATCTAGAGCACCATGTTTATAAACGGTTTTAGAAATTATTGAATGGATTTCGATGTCTATTTGGCTAGTGTCCAAATGTGTAACGTTTGCTGTAAGACTACCAAGGCGCTACGACCTACACAGTCGCTATAGTGAGACCTCTATTTAACAAATTTATACCGTTTCCATATAACAACAATTCAATGGCATATTATGGGAACCACGAGTTTTTTGATAAAATACAAAACAATAGATACTATTTTAAAAATATTATTTCGACGTTTCGACTAAACTATTATTATTGGATTTATAACTACATACTATAACATAAGTTAAATTACTATGTAGTTTACAACTATATTAAAAATTTAATTACAATTATTTACTATCCTAATTGTTGTTCATACTATTAAAAATGTTATAGCATGTAAAAGCGGGCTATTTTTAAATCTATTAGTTCTACTAACAAAGTTGTATAAACAATTTTTGTTCCCTCTAGTGTTTCTTTCCGTTACCTCAGATCTTTTTGGAGGAAGCAAATGATTAAGCTTGTGATCTTCTTCGGTCATATCTGATATTAACTTGAAACAATACTCTTTTCTTCGTTGTTCCAATGTTATCAACTTGTTCGTTTTCAATACCTGTTCGTAATCTTGTCCTGGATATATTATACGAAATGCTCGTTTTTGAATCCTTTCAATATTGCATCGTTGTTTAGCAGTTAGTCCCCCAGACCATAAAACATCACCATATTCTAAAACCGGCCTGAGCAGTATTGAATTATAAAATGCCAAAAGGTCCTTTGTGAGGGCACCATAATTCTTTAAGATTTTTAAAAACTACAGTCTTTTTCGGCCCTTTTTGATCAAAGCCCAAGTGTTAGTCTCCCATTTCAGATTATTATCGATCCACACACCAAGTAATTTGTAGGAGCTGACACGACTTATTGGAGACTGTTCCGCTGGTAGATCAGGAATATCTGTTTTCATTTTTCTGAAGTCTATAATAATTTCTTTGCACTTTTTACTGTTCAAAATCATGTCTTCGCCTTTCGACCATTCCGTCACCGAGTTTAACTGTTCCTGCATATTGCCTATCTGGTCACCCGAACCATGCTGTTGTGACACGTCCAAGATTTCTGATAAGGTGGTGTCGTCCATATAGATGACTACCATATTACTGTCGTTTTCGAAACAAGCTTGTTCTAAGCTATTTATTTTAATAACTAATGCAAGTGGGCCAATTTTGCTACCTTGGGGTATACCTCGGTTAACATCTTCTAAGTTTGAGGTCACGTTTCCTAATTTAGTTCTCTGCTTTCTCCCTTTTAAGTATGAAGCAATCCATGGTATAAGGGCATCTCTTACACCTAACGTTTTCATGTCCTCAAGGAATTTATTATGGTTTATCAAGTCGAATGCTTTACTAAAATCCAAAAATAGTACCCCAATTACGGTCTTCGGCTTCTCCAGAGCTTGATACCAGTTGTGTAGTAAATTTAATAGAGCCAGGATTGTAGATGAGCCCGAGAGACCACCATATTGTGCTGGGGAAATGTTAGAAGAAATGTCTTCCATCATCCATTCAACTACAAACGACTCTTGGATCTTAGATCTTAGAAAAAATACTTGTGAGGGCAATTGGGCGTAAAGCTTCTACAGACGGCAATGGAACAATCTTCGGGATGGGGCAGATATCATATGCTTTCCAAATACTTGGGAATTCTTTCGTTGAAAATGAGTTATTTATGATATTGCACATTACTGGCCCCAAAAGATCTGCGGCAGATTTGATAATCTTCAGAGGAAGGTCAAAAGGACCTGGAGCTTTATTCTGGTTGATATTTTTTAATCGATGAACAATTGATTCTTCTGATACGTGTGGAAGAGGTGTATCTATACCGCTTGAAAACCAAAACTGTGAAGCTGGTGGATACTCTGATGTTAAGCTTGAGAAAAAGCAGTTTATGGTTTCAGCCATTGTGCCTTTTGACAGTGACGCGTTCGTTTCTTTGCTAAATAAGGTAAAACCAGTGGAACGTTTAAGGTTACAAATTCAGTTGTTTAACATTCTTTTACCACTGTTTAGAATTACCAGATTTCACTCTTTCGTCGTAAAATTTCTCTTTCTCTTTTCTAATCTCGTAAGTGACCTTATTGCAGTAATATTTATAACAATCCTTGTTGTTATTCTTGTATGCCCGATCACGTTTTGAGATTAAATACTTTATTCGACCAGTTATAAAAGGCTTATCATTACAAAACCTCACCGTCTTTAATGGAAAAAAGGAATCGATAGCGTTTGTCAGTATATTTGTAAATTGATCAACTTTTTCATCAAGTGATTGGATGGAGAGAACATTATTCCAGTCATAGTTTGAAAGGTGACTTCTGAATAATGTCAAATTAGATTCTTTTACTCGGCGGACTTTGATCTTTCGTTTCGAAATTGAGTTTACATGATTCCCAGCCGAGAACTTTAATTTTACGCAACAATGATCACTAGTACCCAGGGGAGCATAGATTACTGGTTTCGAAAAATAATCCTTTATATTTGTGAAAATCAAGTCAAGCGTAACTTCTTTTTTTGTTGGCGAATAAACTATTTGCTTTAAGTTACAATGAGTGGAAAGCGTTTTAGGGTCAAAGCCGTTGCCCCTTGGGTTAAAATCGCCAGAGATGATAAATGCGGAATCCGGGCTTTCAGTTATAAGTTCATCATATGATTCCGATAGATAATCATAAGCTTTCTCGATGTTATCATGTAATAAATTCAGTGGCAAATAAATGCATGCAATAACCAGGCGTGAAATTGACCTCGGAATTTTCTTTGGCTGGCAAGTTATCCCTACACACGTGCTATAATCATCGTCAGGAAATGAATGGTAGTCATCATCAGGAAAT